AGGGTGCATATGACAGAGTGGAACGAGAGGCATTGAGAGCCATCCTCAGGGGACAGGGGTTTGGAGAAGAAATAGTGGGATGGGTAGATGATTTGTATCTCGGTGCAATGGCGAGGGTACAGATTAATGGGAGAGTGGGTGGGAAGATTGTAATGGAAAGGGGACTTCGACAGGGGTGCCCTATGTCACAACTTTTATTTGTATGCATACAGGACCCCTTTTATAGGATGATGGAGAAGCGTATGTGCAATAGGGGGGGGCGAAGGGAGTAGAATTGGGAGGGTTTGGCCAGTCTTAATAGGGTATGTTGATGACACTACTGTTCTGGTAGGGAGGGGATGTCAATGGATACCTTGGATCGGGTAGTACAATTGTTCTCCGATGCAACTGGTATGAGAGTGAATTCTGAAAAGTCCATGGTCATGGGGTTAGGAGCTTGGGCTGGGAGGGTTCAGTGGGGTAGTTCAGTGGTGGGGAGGCGGGTGAATTTGTGAAAAATTTGTGGTCTTATCTATGCAGACGATCTGGATGTAGCGCGCAGGGAAAACTCGATTAGGTTGGTGGATAGCATTCAGGGGCGATTGGTTGCATTGAGGCCTTATCATTTGACCCTTTTACAGCAGGCCATTGCCTTATTGTATAGTAAGGTATGGCACGTGGCGGCCGTGTTCCCATTAACACTGACGGCGATAGCGGACATACTTAGGAGGGTTTTTAAATTCTTGTGGGGCTCGGGAGGCGATTGGCTTAAAAGTGACGTGGTAATGTTACCTGTGCGGCAGGGGGGGTTGGGTTTGCTGGACTTAAAGAGGAGGGTCAAATGTGTCTATTAAAAGGGAGGTGGTGAGGGAAGGTGTGGGGGGGGGGGTATTGTCAGGATCCATGAAAGATTGAAACGAATGTATTCCGGAGTGGAGTTGCTGGTGTGTGAAACTGTTTTGAGGGCAATGGCGTGGGCTCGAGATCCGGGGAAGGTCAAAATAGGTGTGATGTGTCGATTGTTGGTGGGGAGGGTTGTGGCGCCTGTAGAGGGAATTTTCCCCATGTATACATGGGGAAGTATATGGAATAGGTTAAGTAGGATGAGGTTACAACCACGAGCACGTGACGTAATGTATCGTTTTCTGCACGGGATTTTGCCGTCAGGTACGGTTCTGAGGGATAGACGTGTGGTTGAGGTGGGTGTGTGTGGAATATGTGCAGGTGAGGAGTCGGCGTTTCATGTTGTATATTTTTGTGAGGGGATGGGTAGCGTCAGGGGTTGGTTGAGTAGAGTACTCCGTAAGATTGGGGGTAAAGGAATTTCTGTTCTGAGAGCTTTAAGTCTTGACGTGGGGGGATTGGATGAGAGTATCATTAGGGCTGTGGGGTACATTATGGTAGATTATATATACATATCTTGGGGAATGAGGGGAAAAGGGGTTAGTGAGGTGAAGAGGCGGGTTTTAGCAGTTACGTTTTATAAAACGTTGTGCTGTAACAGGGAAATTTATGGGTTAAGGTGGGAGCTGGCTTTCTCAGAGGGATACAGAGAACTTACGTTAGAGGTTTTATTAGATTTGTAAATCAGGTGGGAGGGGCAGGGTAGGGATGGTAAATGCTACTGTAGGAAGCTGATGTCAGGGGTAGAAACGGGGTCGCCTCCTTGGGGTTGACAGTTGCAAAGAATGTGCGCGACTTTAGTGTGGCGAGAGAGTTGGAATAATGTAACGTGCGAATGTGTATGAACCTGAGCGTATGGGTTGTGTAACGGCACATACACAGTTGTGGCTGTCTGCGCCTGCGTGCGCCTTAGTTACGCTGTTGTGATTAAGGATTGGTTGAACTTCATTGTGGCAATATTCCTGGAATTGTTAAGCAATAGATGTGTATCTTAACCTGGTTGAAGTGTCAATGTGTAAGACTTGGTCATGTTTCCCTTATGTTAATATTTGTTATTAAATGTAATGTCTTTGGTGTTACTGTTTCACCAATACTTATATAATTACCACTTAGGTTTATTCATATATGTCAAGTTAGGATGTAAGTCAACAAGTTGGTGATAACGGTCATATTATTTTGGGGTGAGGGGGGGGTAATTAATGTGTAATAAGTTTAAGTCATTAACGGCAATTCCAACTTTATCGGTAGTTGTATACATGTGTTTTGATATGTGATGTTCACATTGTATTAATCTTATTTAAGGTATTGTGATTTTGGTAGTCTTGTACCATCCGTGTTGTAAATTCTCTTTCCTCAAGTGACATGTGTCATGATATTCCTAAATTGAGGATAATTAATGTCATGATTATTCAGATTAGTGATGGGGCTAGTTTTCAATGTGTGTGTGTGAGTGGGGGGAGGGATGATGGGTCACCTGTGTTGTGTGAGTGGGGGAGGGATGATGGGTCACCTGTGTTGTGTGAGTGGGGGGAGGATGATGGGTCACCTGTGTTGGTGTGAGTGGGGGGAGGGATGATGGGTCATCTGTGTTGTGTGAGTGGGGGGAGGGATGAGGGTCACCTGTGTTGTGTGAGTGGGGGAGGGATGATGGGTCACCTGTGTTGTGTGAGTGGGGGGAGGGATGATGGGTCACCTGTGTTGTGTGAGTGGGGGGAGGGATGATGGGTCACCTGTGTTGTGTGAGTGGGGGGAGGATGATGGGTCACCTGTGTTGTGTGAGTGGGGGAGGGATGATGGGTCACCTGTGTTGTGTGAGTGGGGGAGGATGATGGGTCACCTGTGTTGTGTGAGTGGGGGAGGGATGATGGGTCACCTGTGTTGTGTAGAGGGGGGAGGATGATGGGTCACCTGTGTTGTGTGAGTGGGGGGAGGGATGATGGGTCACCTGTGTTGTGTGAGTGGGGGGAGGGATGATGGGTCACCTGTTGCAGCACAGGTTTCTTAATAATGCATTTGTAGGTCTTGTGTAATTAGTTGCGAGTTGTATTATGGGTGATTGTCATTAAGCTTGGTGAATTATTATTGTGTTGAGAGTGTAATTTAGGAGTTATATTTATAGCCGTTTTGTGGCCTTTAATATTATCCCTTTATTCCTTCTTGAATTGTGATGTTTTAAAAACTTGTAAATAGTATGGCAGGTGGTGCCTGGATTGTTATGTGTTTATATATTGTGTTATTGATGTTATCCTTGTTCAAGTCATTTTTTAATTTTAAGTAGCAGGGGAATGTACAATGTATTCATTGGTGGGGGGGGGGGGGTGAGTGTAAGCAATACTGAGTAAGTTCCACTTTATGAACCTTGTGTACTTGTGTACTTGTATACTTGTGTACTTGTGAAACAACGTACGTAAAAGCAGTCTATAGGTTATGTTCATTTTATTTTAATGTCTTTATGTATGTGCTTATTCAGAAGATTGTGTAGTGAATGTTTATTGCTCATCACCAGTGTCAATGTAACATATTGATATATGTACCTATATATATTTGTACATGAAGTTTTAAATAAAAAAAAATTAGTAATGTCTTTTCTGGTCATACATTTTCCAATTAAATGTGCACTATATAAATTGTGGGTTACTTTCTTTGAACATAAGAACATAAGAATGTAGGAACACTGCAGAAGGCCTACTGGCCCATACGAGGCAGGTCCTTATCAAAACGACATCTACCTAAAGCTACTCAAGAAATAACTCCCGTACCCCAAACAGACTCTGTTACTGCTCCATCTATTTTTATACCTGTTTTTATGCAACAATTAATATTTTCTCGAACATACAATGCAACTCCTCCCTACACCACGTTTGGTGTAATTATAGGCTTCTTCCTGCGTGCACTCAGAATCTGCAGCAACGAGTTCCTTGAGGAAGAATGCACTATAATTGAACAAATATTTTCTAAACTCCACTATCCTCGTCACTTCATCAGAGACTGCAGACGGCGAGCATTAAACATCTTCAACACACCTAGAGAAGACACTGCCGAGAAGAGATACATAGTCCTTCCCACCAACTCCATTGCCAAACATGTTTCCAACATCTTTACCAAAACATCATTCCAAGTATCTACCTCCACAACCACGACCATCAAGGACATCACAAGTAGTAGGCAGGACAAGCCTCCATCCTCTGCAGGGGTATACATAATCCCTTGTAATGACTGCAACAAGTTATACGTGGGCGAAACATCAAGGGACCTCCAAACACGTATTTCAGAACACCAATACGCAAGCAGGTTTGACGACACAAGGAATGCCTGCGTACAACACCGTAATTCACACAACCACTTGATAAACTACAGAAACTCAAGACTTATCGCCACAGAAGACAACACTCAATACCGAAGAATCCTGGAATCATCTCTTATTTCTATATCCGACAACTTCAACCAGAATAGTGGCTTCTATAACATAGCTGAACCACTTGCCAAGAAACTTCTTCATCGCTATCCCACATAAGAACACTGTAGAAGGTCTGCTCACAAACTTATCCAATCTCCTTTCCAATCTCACATAAAGTCTGTCAGAAATTATTTTCTGAATGTCACCTAAATTATGTTATCCTCTGTGTTCTATAATGAAAAATACTTAAAAATGGATAATATAACGAGAGTTACTACGAAATTTCTTACGATTCTCGCTAACATGAATGAATTTAAACTAATTTATGACTGCTGTCTTGCGTCAATTCTTCCTGGTTGATGAATCCCGCATATAAGCCTATTATTTAATGTTAAGAATTAATCTAAGTCTGCCCGAAATGCCTAGCCATGCTAGGTGTCCTAGTGGTCCCCTCTGTAATTAGTATTTTATAACATGTAAACCACACAATACCCAAAACCTGTAAACCCCACACTTGTGGCTTAGCGCTTCTTTTTGATTATAATAATAATGTAAACCCCACATTGTAATCCTTATAGAGAATACACTTGAATTGAATTAAATTGAATTGAATTCTAAAGATTTATTTCTTAACCCATATTAAGGGAAAAAAAATTTTGATGACGTTGAATATCTCCTATATACATATACACATTTAAAAAAAAGTGTAAAACATACTCACAAAATTCAGCCATACGTTCGTTGTAAGGATCTGATTCTTCTCGTCCTGGAAGGTAAAAAAAAAATCAAATGAGTGAAACTGGTAAATGTATAAGAACGAAATGAGAGCTATAAGCTATTTTATAAAACAAATATATGTATATATGTATCAATAACAACATTGCGACTAGCCAAGGACTCGAACCCATGCTACTTTGGCCTGCCTAATGGTGGGCGAAAACTCATGACGCCTTTATCCACTGGACCATACAATGGACCATACAATGCATGGCCTAGTGGATTAAGGCTTCATGAGTTTTCACCCACCATGAGGCAGGCCAAAGCAGCATGGGTTCGAGTCCTTGACTAGTCGCAATGTTGTTATTGATCAATACCACTCGTTTGTGGGCACTAATATATATATATATATATATATATATATATATATATATATATATATATATATATATATATATATATATATATATGCATTTAATCTCCTGAAAAGAGACGTGGTATTAGCAGCGGTACAAGAACATTTTCATGGTCTCTTCCCTTTTGTTTCAGTTGGATATAGCAAGAAATCAATGCTCCTGTTTGGAAAGCATGAAATCACATCATCAGAGGGTGTCTAGCAAGGGGATCCTTTTGCACCATTTCTCTTCTGTATAGCGATTAGGAAAGTCACAGTCTGACAAGCGAGCTCAATATCTGGTTCCTGGATAATGGCACACTAGCAGGTACAAAGGAGTCCTTCCTAGATGATCTTACACAGGTAATGACACGGGGACAGGAAATGCATCTCATCCTGAATAAATCCAAATGTGAAATCATCTGTCAGTCAACAAGTGATAAATGCAGTGAGATACAAACTACCAGGAGCATCAGTCATTGCCCCCACAAATAGCGTTTTGCTTGGAGCACCTCTGAGAAGCGATGCCATTGACACAATTCTCAGGAAGAAATTGGGAGAGTTGAGGAGAATGGAACAACGAATAGACAATCTTGACACCCACGATGCCTTGTACCTTCTCACTAAGTGCTTGAGTCTGCCCAGGTTGACGTATTTCCTAAGATGTGCACCTTCATATGATAACCCTATACTGCAGGAATATGCCAGTATCCTGAATGAGATTTTTACGAAAGTACTTTACCTTACTCTAGAAGACAGGCAGTGGAACCAAGCTACACTTCCAGCCATACTAGGAGGCATTGGTGTCCGCAAGTCATTACAGATTGCACTACCTGCTTTTCTGTCCTCATGCGTTGCATCCAGAGGGCTTGTAGCAGCGATTCTCCCTGAACATCTTAGGAACAAAATTGGAGTCCAGGACTAAAAGTTCATTGACGGAGCCATGATCTGGGATAATCTAACGGGCTCTGAAACCAGACCTGGTCCCCCCAACAACTACAAACAGCCGCACTGGGATGGCCCAATAGTGGAAATATAGCTTCCACAATGCTTCAGGGTGTGTCAGGGAAGGATAGAGCCCACCTCCTGGCAGTGAGAGCTCTTTATGCAGGGGATTTTCTTTTGGCTGTTCCCAACTTTAGCCTTAGCACACGCCTCGACCCACAGACCATCCGCATTGGTGTTGCCCTTCGACTTGCCGCCCCTATTCTCGCCGAACACAGGCGTTTTTGTGGTAGTAAAACAGCAGACCGATTTCGGTACCATGGTCTTGTGTGCCGTAAGTCCGAGGGAAAGATTACAAGACATGACGAAGTTAATAACATTATCAAGTGGAGCCTCTCAACAGCCGGATGCCCAGCAGTAAGGGAGCCACCCCAGCTATACAGATCTGATGGCAACCGAAAGCATCCAGATGGTATCACCCTTCAAGCCTGGACAGACGGTAAGCAGGTGTTGTGGGACTACACATGTCCATCTACATTGGCTGATACCTATCTCCAATACACCAGGGAAGAAGGAGGGGCAGCCGCCAGCTTCAGAGGGTCCCGAAAGTCTAGAAAATATGGAGAACTTGCCCATCATTATATGCTTGTTCCCATAGGCTCAGAGACCCTTGGCTCATTGGGAAAGTGTGCATCTAAGTTCCTTAAGGAGCTAGGCAAAAGACTCATTAGGGTAATTAGGGATCCCAGGGCAACTACTTTTCTGTTCCAGCGACTCAGTGCGACTGTTCAGAGGGGTAATGCCTGCTGTATTTTGGGCACGTGCCCCAGCTCTGACGAGCTGGATGAGATTTTCGCATTATAATCAGTGACAAACATGTAAAAATATGTACTAGACATACATCTCTCACACCTCATGTACTGTATATGCCATCTTTGTAGCCATCCTTCAAGCCTTTTTGTCCACTACTCCGAGGCTATAGGTCCCGCAATTTACACCAGAGGTGCACCCTATACATATATATATTATATATATATATATATATATATATATATATATATTATATATATATATATATATATATATATATATGTCGTGCCGAATATGTAAAATTGGTCAATTAGCAAGAACTCATTTAAAATTAAGTCCTTTCTAAAATTTTCTCTTATACGTTTAAAGATATATTTTTTTCATTAATGTTGATGTAAAAAGTTTTAATTTTGCACCAAAAAGAACTTAGAAAACTTACATAACCTTATTATAACAAGAACAATTTATTTTAGCCTAACCCAACTAAATATATTTTAGATATGTGTACAGTAATTTAATACTGAACAAACACAGTGAAATATATTTTTTTCGTTAGGTTCAGAATCATTTTGGCGAAATTATTGCATACACAAATTTTCACTTGTCCTATATGGCAAGATGAGTGTTGCTATTTAAGATAAGATCGCAAGTTCTGCCCATTCGGCACGACATATATATATATATATATATATATATATATATATATATATATATATATATATATATATATATATATATATATATATATATGTCGTGCCGAATAGGCAGAACTTGCGATCTTGCCATTTAGCAACGCTCATCTTGCCATATAGGACAAGCGAAAATTTGTGTATGCAATAATTTCGCCAAAATCATTCTGAACCTAACGAAAAAAATATATTTCACTGTGTTTGTTTAGTATTAAATTATTGTAAACAAATCTAAAATATATTTAGTTGGGTTAGGCTAAAATAAATTACGCTTGTTATAATAAGGTTAGGTAAATTTTCTAAGATTCTTTTGTTGCAAAATTATAAATTTTTACACCAATATTAATGAAAAAAATATATCTTTAAACGTATAAGAGAAAATTTTAGAAAGGACTTAATTTTAAACGAGTTCTTGCTAATTGACAAGTTTTACATATTCGGCACGACATATATATATATATATATATATATATATATATATATATATATATATATATATATATATATATATATATATATATATATATATATATATATATATGCATATATATATATATTCTTTCAATCTTTTTTTCAACATACCAGCCGTATCCCACCGAGGTGGGGTGGCCCTAAAGAAAAAACTAAAGTTTCTCCTTTTAAATTTAGTAATATATACAGGTGAAGGGGTTACTAGCCCCTTGCTCCCGGCATTTTAGTCGCCTCTTACGACACGCATGGCTTACAGAGGAAGAATTCTATTCCACTTGTATATATATATATATATATATATATATATATATATATATATATATATATATATATATATATATATATATATATATATATACTATATATGATAAAAAAGCATTACTAGTGAATATTATGATAATGCTTCTTAATAATCAAGGTCACTGATGAGCACTTATGTCCATATTTATGGCAGCTCTAGTGTTCATTTACTCATTGTTATTAGTCTGCCGAAATCTGTGTTATTTTGTATCCTCGATATGGCAACATTATGCCACTAACTAGTGCTTATTATATTAGTGTACACTCACACACGCACACACACACACACACACACACACACACACACACACACACACACACACACACACACACACACACATACACGCACACACATACACGCGCACACACACACACACACACACACACACACACACACACACACACACACACACACACACACACACACACAAAACTCAAAGGCAATGGGGCCGGATAATCTCTCTCTATGGGTCCTGAGAGAGGGAGCAGAGACGCTATGTGTACCCTTAACAACAATATTCTACACATTTGTCGAAACAGGGAGATCACCAGAGGTATGGAAGACAGCAAATGTAGTCCCAGTTTTTAAAAAAAGGAGACAGACAAGAAGCACTAAACTATAGACCAGTGTAACTTACGTGTATATTATGCAAAGTCATGAAGAAGGTTATCAGGAGAAGAATGGTGCAAGGCCTAGTAAGAAATGAGTTTATCAACAGCAGCCGACACAGTTTCAGGAATGGGAAATCCTGTATTACAAACCTACTGAAGTTCTATGGCAGGGTGACAGCAGTAAGACAAGGGAGAGAGGGGTGGGTAGATTGCATTTTGCTGGACTGTAAGATTAGTGCAAAAACTGGAGGACCAAGCAGGGATAACAGGGAATGCACTACTATGGATCAGGGAATACCTGTCAGTAAGACATCAGCGAGTGGGTGCCTGTGATGAGTGGGGTTGCACTGAGGTCAGTTCTAGGACCGGTGTTGTTTCTGGTATTTGTGAACGACATGACGGAAGGAATAGACTCCGAAGTGTCCCTGTTTGCAGAAGATGTGAAGTTGATGAGAAGAATTCAATCGGACGAGGACCAGGCAGAACTAAAAAGGGCTCTAAACAGGCTGCAGGCCTGGTCCAGCAATTGGCTCCTGGAGTACAACCACCAAGTCCAAAGCTATGAAGATTAGAAAAGGGCAAAGAAGACCGCATATGGAGTACATTCTAGGGGGCCAGAGACTACAAACCTCACTCAAGGAAAAAGATCTTGGGGTGAGTATAACACCAGGCACATCTCCTGAGGCGCATATCAACCAAATAACTGCTGCAGCATATGGGCGCCTAGCAAACCTAAGAACAGCATTCAACCATCTTAATAAGGAATCGTTCAGGGCCCTGTACACTGTGTACGTTAGGCCCATGTTGGAGCACCCAGCACCAGTTTAG